GAGAAAGAATACAGGAGTTTGCATAAAGACAATTGAGACCTTGGTTTTAATTAACCCACCTTCTGACATTGGTATTGTGAATATTTACAGAAAGTTCTCTACCAAACATGCCAAGACTCAAAGGATACAAACAACTCCAAAGAACCAAACCTAATCCACATTAGTAAAATGCAAACAATTAATACAGATGTGATTAAAATTGTGAGGTATTTGGAAATTCCAGTTCCACACTTGCACAGTTTCCCTGAGCCAGAGTTTTCACACCTCATGGGGCTGTGAAGACTAAATGGAGTAACCTGCAATAAAATGGTTAGCACAGCCACTGGATTACTGTTAAGTATGTTACGAATATTAAAAATCATTATTAGCACTGTCTCTATTGGTAGCTGCTTACATTTTATAGGAGTGAAGAGTCTCAAATATCAACACAGAAACATCAACCAAACTCTTAGAGAGTGAGAACTATAAAGGAGTCTGATTAGCATTATTTGTCATTTGCTACAATGCTTACCTTGGGATCAAAGGCAGAACTGTACTTAGGTAGAACTGAGTCCCTTTATAATGCTGTGCATTTTATAGTGTACAATTTCAATAGTATAGTGCATGACAGTATATTAAGAACCTCCTGAGAAGGCATAGGAAGGGCCTCATCAGAATCCCAAAGGGATCTATGGACAAAAAACATTTAAAAGGCAAACAAAATACACTTAAGGACCACGGCAAAGTAATTTGACAAGAGCACACCTTCACAAGGTTACATGAGGGTGCATTCGATGAGGAGGCCACTTAACATCACTGTTATAATATAAATTTAAAGGATGGAAAATTCTTTTCTCAGCAGCTAATTCTTTGATCTGGAATATGGGGAAGCTTCAAGTCTGGGATCTCTGAGGTCCCAGGATGCCTGACTTCTACCACTCTGTAAGGTTGAACTTGACGATCTAGCCAATAAGAAACAAACAGGTCTTTTCATTCTTCTCATAGCCCTAACTAAAGTTCAATTTCGCAAGCCAAATTTGAAAATCAATTAATAAATTACAACTGCCAGAGAATGTTAAAAAGCCCAAAGGCACCTAAGAAGAGCTTAGAAGAAACAACAGAGCATTAAGCCTGAGATAAATGGGTTTGCCATGTGTTTACTGTAATGTTGACTTTGTATCCCAGAGCAAAAATTCTCCTACCTCCACTTACCACTACTTTGTATGATAATAGCAGCATTAATTTTAAAATGATCATGAATCAATCATGAAATCTGACTCTTGTTTTTACTGGCAACAAAACACTCTAATTAGCACCTTGAATAAGAACTGCTTTGGAGATGGCACTGGTAGAAGCAATCTTCTGTTGCTAATTCTTCCTAATTACCCATGGTAAATGAGGTTGAAAGAGTACCAGACTAGGTTAGACACCTCCCACTTACTAGTCCCAGGACATAATCACCTTGAACTTTTGCACAAAGGGATGGGAAGTTCACCTTCTGCACAGGCTGACATGCTGCCATACGGGCTGTCCTGTGTACTGGATAATGTTTACCATCATCTTTGGCCTTGGTGTAGGATGCTGGTAGTACCATCTCTTCCTCACTCCCTATCCCCAAATCGTTCTAGACATTGCCAAGTATTCCCTAATAGTCAAAATCACCCCTGACTGGGAGCCAACAAACTAAAGAATGGTGTCTACATCAGGCTATTATAAGATTAAGTGTAATAATATACATATTTTAAAAAGGGGTTTAAAAGCATGCTTTAAGGTGCAAAGCGAAAGTGAAATATATGTAATTGCATGTTAAAACTGATTAAGGGATACAAACCACATGGGAAAGATGCTTCTGCTATCAATTTACAAGAAGGGTGAGTTGACTTAAAGTTATCCTCAGGTTGTGTGGAGTTTCTCATTCCCACATGGTATTTTTTAACCAATTCTGTTGAAGTGTAATTTACATGGAGTATACCACATTAATTTATAGTGCACACTCTATGGGTTTTGTGGATGTATGTTTATATCGTGTCACACACATCAGACACCCGAAGAGCAGGATGGGTTCCTGTTTGGATTAACTGCAAACTCACTATGAAATAAGAATAGGCCCCGAGTTAGATTCTGTATCAAAAGTTTTTCCGTTAAACACATATTCTTGCCTCTTGTAAGCCACTGGGTAGAAATGTTCCTAATGAACGCCATGGTGGCAAACTTTCCCGGGAATGAGTGTGAGGCCAGTGTCACCGTACGTCATAGGGCCCATGTTCAGGAAGCACTGTCTTGCCTGCCAATTCCAATTCTCTTATCTGAGCTGAAGCAAACAAAGTCTGAAATAATGATGGAGCATGACCTGCAGGCTTGGAATTTCTCCTCATTTGTGTTACTGACCCCTTCCACTTCCCCCAAGACAGGTTCTTGGCCACCTGCTTCTCTGTCCACTGTCACCCTGTTCCAGGCTAGTCCCTCCCTCCCTCCACAACTCCCACTCCCTCCAAACCACTGCCAACTTCAATGCAGGTCTCTTGGCAGAGATCCACATCCTCCTTTCCTGTTGGGGCCTTGAGCACAGGTGTGGGAACAGCTGGGAGTCAAGAAAAGCGATACCTTGTCCTATCCCTGGCTATTAACTGGCAAAGGGCCTCTTGCCACCCTGATCCAGGCCCAGACTGTGGCCCATAGCAGAAGCTGCAATTCTTCAGGGGATATGTGGTGTGTCTACCCTAAGTGGGGGCAGTAAGTCCATGGACAGGGAAGATTAACTTTCATGCCCCTGGATGGAACCCTATATTTTCAATTTGCAATAGGTCTGGCATATGACAGCCAGATCTTACCTCAGTGTGTACCCCTGGAGATTTACCTGCACTAGACCCCTGCCAGAGGGGTCTAGTTCATGACAGCCAGAGGAAGGAAGGCTCAGTGATGCCATATCTTCTGATGTAAAAATTATGGCAAGTTTCTGAAACCACCTTCTGGTGACTTCTGCTCAGCAAGGGGGCCTGCTTCTCTCTCCCCACTCCTCCTCCACTACGGTGGAGCAGGGCCTTCCTGGGGATGGTCTAGTTTCTCAGTCCTCTGCTCCAGTGCACCCCAGAAGGATATGTTAAGGACAAGGGCTGTGCTTGTGCACACACTGAAATACTCTTTGGAAAGATCTTCATCAAAATTATAAAAGCCAGAGCTGCTTACTGGATGTCAGAGGCTGATAGGATGATACATGTGCTCCATGACCATAAAATATAATGTTCCAATCAAATGATAAAACATGCTTATATGATTTTTATATCTCCATTTAGAAGAAAAAGAATTGCACTTTTTCCTCAGACCTTTTCTTAAAGCAGTGCACATTGCTCTAAAACTTCTGCTGAGTCTCGAGTCAGGATGCTGAGGGTCAGTCGACATAAATGGGGATGAACTGGGGAAAGGGACAGAAGGAGGGGAAGTTGTGGCATTGGTGTCACATGGACTCCGTGTAAATAAATGCTCACAATGGCTCACCACTGTCCTTGGGTAGCAGAAGTTGAAAAGACTGCCTGAAAGGAGAGAGGAAATCCAGGCATGGAAACTCACATCTATAATCCTGGCTACTCAGAAGGTGCGATCAGGAGGTTCAAGGTTCAAGGCTAGCCTGGGGGAAAAATTAGTGAAACTCCATCTCAACCAACAAGCCAGGCGTGGTGGTGCACACCTCTCATACCAGCCACATGGGAGGCATAGATAGGAGGATCGGGGTCCAAGACTGGTCCAGGCAAAAGAGCATGAGACCCTATCCAAAAAATAGGTAAGAAAAAAAAAATGTCTGGGGCCATGGCTCAAATGATAGCATGCATGCCTAGCCAATTCAACCGAAAACAAGAAGGAAGAGGAGGAAGGCGAAGGAGAAAGACAAGAAAAAAAGAGAAAGTATTCTGGTGTCTTCTTGTCCACTGTCCCCTACAAAATGCAGTGAACACTGCAGGCAGGACACTTCACTACTTGATCCTGACTAAAAAGAAAGAACTATTTCTGGCAAGAAAATATTTCACATTTGGCTTTACAAGACAATATATGTGTTGCCAAATGAAACTAGTTGTTTCTTAACCTTTATTATTATATTTTAAATATTATTTATTATAGTTCTAATAAATCATTAGTTAAAAGGCAAATATGAACTTTCTGGTTAATTAAATCTCACTAATTAAGTTGTATTTTAATAGAAGATTGAAAAGAAGTACCCTGTGGAAAATAATATTTAACCCCTAAACAGAAGTACTCATTCTGGTTCCAAAGTCAGCCATACCGTAATGATGTCTGTTAAAACCCACCAGTAGCAGTACCCTTCACAATAAAAATGGTAACTTTATCAGAGGAGCAGCAGGAAGGGACTTGGTCCAAACACATCAGAGGATGACAAAGGGATGTTGGTTGGCTAAAACATGCCTCGCATTATTTGATGTGGAGTTGATAACCACACAAATTGGAATTGCCACAATTTAATGACAGACAGCTCCCATGTGATACTCTAGAAACACAAGCTTAGTGAATCGTGCTTGGGTAAGGCAGCACGTGTCAATACAACACTCAGAGAAAGAAGGAAGCCCCTCCACTGTTTTTGAAAACAGGGCTGTGATCTTGCCTGCAATTTCCTGAGCCTCCAAATTCCCTCTCCTAGCTGCGCTCTGGGGCTCCCTGAGAGTACCCAGGGCTCCTGCAGGGAGGGTGTGAGCAGCTGGTCCCTGTGCCCTAGGGTCACATTTCCGTAAATCAGTTGCCTGTGCAGGACAGCACGTGTGAATGAAAATGGAGCATCTTTCTGTACTGAAGCCAATCTGTACCACAGGAAAAACCAAGTGTTTTTACCCAACATAAATAAAAATAAATATGGAAGACTCCTCCCCACCCCACATCAGAATGTCCAGTGGGAATGTGAATACTACCATCCGGATACAGAGGACAAGCATTTAAAATTCACAGTCAGAGCAGGGCTGCTACTAAGCTAGTGACCTTCAGCCCCGCCCCCCAAACATTTGTGATTCAGTAATTACCGGATGGCATTGTAACTGATAGCTAGACGACTTCCTCTCTTCCAGAGCCATTTGAACACATATACAGCAGGCAAGCCGACATCTCCGCATTTGCTGGGACTGCAAGGGACACAGGCTACACTGTACATTCGATAATCTCAAACTGATACACAGTAGCACACATTAAACACATGAAAAATGACAACTTAGGTGATCTGGTTTAGATACATGCTTTGTAATTATTATTATTACTACTACCACTACTGTTAAGAAACACAGGTCAGTAAGATAACTCTCAAAAAAGGATTTAGTGCCGGATTTCTGCTCAAACCATGATGTGAGCCCTACCATGTTCAATTCAGACGCTAGACTTCAGCATCCTGAGGCTCATCAGAACTCTGCAGTTCCAACCTTGCTTGTACTTTTTACCAAAGCTAGCAAGAACATCTCATCTGCTCAATTACTTATTAGTGTTTCTACAGAATACCATTTCCTCTTGCGGCTGATAAAATATTAATCAAAACCAGGAACTGAGCGATTTCCCTGTGTACGTGTCATCTAATGGTAAGACAGGGAGTCAAAGAGAGATGTGGAGGTCATGGAATAGCTTCTGAAGAAGGCAGGGGAGAGTGACATCGGAGACAGGAGACTGGAGGCAGATCCCTGGAGTTGGGGGAGTTATTTCTACTTAACATGGACGAAGGCTTTTAGAAACATACACCAACAGCCAGGTCTGAGAAACAGTCAAAGAACTTGGTTTTGTTGTTCTTTAACCTGGAGCAAGCCTTCAATGAATCAGAATTCTGTCTGGATTTAACTAGTTTCTTATAAAACTCGCACCTTTATTTTTCAACCCCTTCCAGGTTTCATGACTGTACTTCCTGCCTTAGTAAAGAGTATGCAACAAATGTGGATGATCTCAACTTTTAATTTTAAACTCTCAAAATTCAAACTTCTGAAGTTTAAAAAGATGTCTTCTACTTCCTGCCTTCTCCCAAATAGTCTTGTATATGAGAAAAGAATGTGGCTTTGGATATAGACAGACATGGGTTTGCAGCCTGCTCTACGCTACAAAGTGACTCAGGGTAAATTACTTAATCTCCATGAATGTCAGAGTTTCCTGAAGACTTGAAAAATGTGTCAGTTTCAAATGCTCACTCTTCTCATCCCTAGAACCCAAACTTCGTATACACCAATAAAATCCAGACAAATATCTTTCACACCCTACCAACCCAAACCTTTTTCTCAAAATACATCAGTTTTCAAAGCGCTACAGTATACTGTCGCTACTTTTTATACCAAAAAGTTATTTTTTAAAGCTCTGTCTAAAAATCATCTAATGCTTTGAGAAATACTCTTGTTGATACAAGTTAAACATCCTAATTCAAAAACCTGAAATCTCAAATGCTCAACTAGTAAAGTCTATTGCAACTATTCCTAAAATCCCCAAAATCCTGAAAACTCCAACATCTGAAACACATCTGTTCCTAAGCATTTTCAGTAAGAGACACTCAACTTGTACTAGTAAAATAACAGGACACCTGTAAAGGAGACTACCAAAAAAGTCAGACACCAACATGATGCATCCCCTTCATTTGGTTAAGTACATATTATGAATGCTTATACATACCTTTCATATGTTAGCATACTTACTTCACTAACCAGCACAGCCACCCTGTCATATAAAGTAGAGCACCCTAAGTGTATGACTAGTGCAATGTAACAGCTGGCAGGTGTAGAAGCATTGGAATGGGAACTTGGGCCATGCCTAACTATTTCTACCTTCTCCACACATGCTCTCCTTTTCTGAATATATATATTCTTTTCTGGAATATCTCTATTCACCACCAATTCACCCCTAGGAAAAAGTGGTATCAAAAAGCAAAGGTGATAAAGAAAATAACTCTTGAAGCTTCTCTCATATCCAATGGGTTCGGGAATTAAGTTATGTAAATAAATCGTCAAAAGCTTTAAAGCAAGGAATCATTTCATCACTGTGCACTTAAACAGAATCAGCTTGATTGTCCTCCAAGGCCAATGAAGTGAATTTCCAGAAGGGGCCTGAAGACAAATCTCCTAGGCTCTGCGAATCAGGCCTTTATCCACAGGGCTGTGCTGGCCCTGATCACCACCTTTCCCCCACCACAGAATACTTTAAGTTCCTTTGGTTCCTTTTCCTTGTTATCCAAAGCAAAACATAAATTCATCTATCCGAAAACCCCAAGATTCCCTTTGCTCAGAAAACCTGGACTTTCAGAGGCCCTGAATAAAAAGGCAATCCATGTCATGGAACTAACTGGGATGTGTTGAGAATGAACCAACCAATCGCTCTGGTACAGAGATGGCACATGCATGGACTCCTGATGGTTACTCCACAACCCTATCTTTCATTACAAACATTGCTAACCAACCATGGTCCTTCTGTACACCCCTCCCCAGTCTAGAGCAAGCTTCAGCATCCTTTCCACTGGACAATCCTGCCACCCTATGCCCATTTGGGTTTGATACTTGAGATCACATTTGCAGCTATTTTTGTTCTACAAAATTACTAGCAAAAAACCAAAAAAGGGTAGCTCTGCTCTGTCACTCGAGTGTAAAATATGTGTACATAAGTAGCAGAATTTCTACCTGCTTTTCATCCTCAAACATGGAATCAAAAGTCTTAGAGACATTAAAGCCAATTAATACTGTGAAACATTGCTCAAATTACCCCTTTTAACGTGCGTCCTCTTAATTACCATCCACTTTTACATCTAAAAAATCCACTTCGAGTGTTTCTATCAAGATTTTGGCTCTCTTTATCTCACAATCCATTAAAATGATAAAAATCCATTTTAAAAACGTAAAGTCTGGGTTAGCAATTCCACACCTAGGAACCAATCTCATAGGAATAAAAGCATCAGTCTAGACACATGAACAAGGACGCTTAGTATATCACTAGTTGTGTCTAGAGTGGGAGTGGAGGGTGAAACCTTTGGGAACTAAGTGAAAGTCTTTAATTCCTTACATTCAACATAGGGGACGACTGCATAAATCATGCTATGCCCAGAGCATGGAATATTATGCTACCTTTAGATGAGAAAAACAAGATAAAAAACAACATGTAGAATGATTCCATGTTTTATCAAGCAAAAATGACTAGTAAGACAAAAATAAATAAATAAATAAAACCCCAAACCATATCTTAGTCGATTCAGGCTGCTGAAACAAATTACCATAAACCAGGTAGTTTACAGACATAGTTTTGGAGGCTGAGAAGTCCAACATGAAAGTCCTGGAAGATCCATTTTCTGATCACAGATGGTGCCTTCTTGCTGTGTCCTTATATGGTAGAAGGGGTGAGAGTCTTTTACAAGGACACTGGTCCCGCTCATGAGATCCCTGCCTCCATGACCTAACACGTTCTAGCTAGTACCACCACCTTGAATCTTAGGATTTCAACCTATCAATTTGGGGGAGGAGGCACAAATATTTAGACCATAAGAAACTCTGAACACACACACACACACACACACACACACGTTATATACGTATGTACAAATATCAGGTCTCAGGCATTCATTCCCTACTCAAAACACTCTTAATCCTAGTGCCTTAGAAGGTAGGTAATAATGTGACTCCTACTTCATAGAAGAGATAATTGAAGTCAGGAGTCATATACAACCTGCCTAGGGCTACACAGCTAAAGAGGAGAGCCAGTGGGCCCTGCTTCAAAGACTATTTCCATATCTACAGTTATCAAATACACAAATTAAACTAAAAAAACAGCTAACAAAAAATTAGACTTACCGACTTAACAGTTGGTAAATGGTGAGAAGTTTGGCTCAGAAAATTGTGATCAGGGAGTTTTTATCCTCTGGTACAAATGACCTTCCCTCACTCTGCAGAAGAACACAGCTATGAGCATCCAGAGCGAACAACAAATAGTACTCCAGGATGCCCTGATGGTGGGTTGGAATGCCAGCTTAGGTTCTCTGGATTCACAGGTAAGGCAGTGCTCTACTACCCAGCCCTGACTTTAAACTCATGGTTAGAATCAGGTACTGTTCTGGCAACAGGAAGGCCTCTCTGAGGGAGGGGACACACTTGTCTTTCTGAAGGAACAGGGACTTCTGTGTGTGTCTGGCTGATTTCCTTAGGACCTAAGATGGTGCTGGGTAGAGCAGGCGTTCCCTGAATATTTCTTACAAGAATGAAATCTAGATGCCTAGTAAATATGTGTTGCTAATACTAAAACCACAAATTTCTTCTTGTATAAAAATGAAAAAATGACTCCTATGAGAACCATGTGTTCTCTCTATAAAGATAACATTAATAACAACCACAAAAGAGCAACATCTACCATATATTAGATCCCAATAAAAAAAGCTAGCCAGCCGCTGGTGGCTCATGCCTGTAATCCTAGCTGCTTGGAAGGCCAAGTAGTTAGTCTAGGCAGAAAGTTAGCCACAGCCCATCTCAACCAATAGCTGGGCATGGTGGTCTATGCCTGTCATCCCAGCTATGGGGAAGCATAAATAGTAGTCCAGGTTGGCCTGGGCAAAAAGCCAGACCCTGTCTCCAAAATAACCAGAGCAAAAAGGGCTAGATGCATGGCTTTTAGAGCACCTGTCTCTCAAGAGCGAAGCCCTGAGTTCAAACCACAGTACTGCCCCTCCCCCAAAAAGCACTGTGCTGACTCTTGAAGCATATATGTCATGTGACCCTTACAACATTATTGGAAAGCATACAGTAGTGTTTCCAGCAACAGGTGAGGATGCTGAGGCTGTAAGCATTGAATCCCATAGTTCAAGGGCACTGAGCTAATTCAGGAGAGTTCTGGACACACACTCCTAACTGTCCCTTGCCCTTTCACTCCAGCTCAGTGATCTGCACAAGTGTGTTCACTCACTGATAAAGACTAAATAGAAAAGTGTCCTGGTCAGCTCATTTAAAACTAGTCATTCTGTGGCTATCATCAAAAACACAAACAACAATGCTGGTGAGGACGTGGGGAAAAGGAACACTTCTACACTGTTGGTGTGAATGTACATCAGTACAACCGCTATGGGAATCAGTATGGCGGTCCCTCAAAAAACTAAACCTAGAACTGCCATACGAAACAGCAATGACATTTCTGGGCATATATCTGAAGGACTGTAATTCAGGATACAATAGAGCCACATGCACACCCATGTTTGTTGGAAACAGCTGAGATACCCCATGACTGATGAATGGATTAAGAAAATGTTGTATATATACACAATGGAACTATATTCAGTCTTAAAGAAGAATGAAATTATGCTGTTTGCAGGTAAATGGATGGAAGTGGAGAACAGTGAAATAAGCCAGGCTCAAAAAGTCAAAGGTTGCCTGTTTTCCCTCATATGTGGAAGCTAGACCTATAAGTTAAATGTATATATAGATACACATACAATTACATATATATATATA